TTGCTTAGTTCACCGGACTACTCGAGGCCTTTCATAGTCCAATGCGACGCTAGTGATAGAGGCATGGGGGCAGTTCTTAGTCAAAGGGATGAGGGGGATCAAGAGCATCCCATCCTCTATGTTAGCCGGAAACTCACCCTTCGCGAGCAGGTTTACAGCGCTAGCGAAAAGGAATGTGCGTGCTTGGTTTGGGCAGTCCAGAAACTGGCTTGTTATATTGCCGGAAGCAAGTTCATTGTGGAAGTGGACCACTGTCCTCTCACCTGGCTACAGACCATGTCCTCTAAGAACGGCCGCCTGCTGCGTTGGAGCCTCGTTTTGCAACAATATACGTTTGAAATACGCTACAAAAAGGTTGTACTCCATGGCAACGCTGATGGCTTAAGTCAATGCCCCTGACGCGAGAGGATGTCTCGAGAACTCTGGCATTTTTTTTCCTGACCTAGACAAGAGCTAGTGATTGTTTTTTTACTCTTTTAGGTGTACTTGTTTGAAAACGTTGAAGACACGGCTATCCAGGGTTTCGGGTTCGGTGTGCTTCCAGTGTTGTTGTTTTGTGTCACCTTAAAGTGTGAGTAACATTTTGAATAAAATGTGTATTTCCTTTAATATCAGTTAAAGGGGAAAATTGCCTGGTGGAGTTTGGCGGAATTGTCCGGCGCTCACCGGCTGAGTAGTTGTGTTTTCATGTGCGTATGTGATGTCTGTTGAGCCCACAATGAAGCAGGTGTTGCCCTCTACTTCATCAAAGACGGTCGTCACCAAACCGACTGCCGGCGCTGATCTCTCCGGACAGTGGCTGCAAACCTCAGCCCATCGACATCTTCACCCCCCCGCGCGAGAGACTGTTACGACCGGCCCTGGGGAACCGGGCAGGACGAGTTTGGGGGAGAACCGGTTCTTGACCGACGGTGTCGTCCACCCCCACCTCCCCATTCGGGCTCCTCCTCTCGCTGGGAGAGCTCCGGGGTCTGCTGTGCGTTCGTGACCATGTTTGGTAACATTTTGGGGCGCCGGGACCATATATGGACATCGTGTTGGGTTGTGCCACTCCATGTGTTGTGAGAGGTGTTTCCCCCTCCCTCGTGGCCGAGGTGCCGGGGACACCGTATTGGCTGACGATGCGGACAAGGCGCCCAGTGTCAACAACGTGGCGCTATAAAATGCCGAAGACGTTTTGTATCACTCCCACTCTTCTCTCTTTGGATCAGTTGATCACTTCTCCACATGTAAATAAATCTCTGTTGTTCGTTCGGGCGCTTCTTCTCGCTGAATTGTTGGACAATGGATCCTGCGACGGGGCCAGCTACCGAAAACGAGACCGGCAGGACCCGGAGTCCCAACACCTCGCAATCACTTCATCAACTGGCCATCATCATTGAAGACCTCAGCGAAACGCAGTGACCAAACATAGACCACAGAAGTGCATCGCCACTGGACACCGTTGCAACCATCATGACAGAACCATCGACTGACCTTGCCATCCCCAAGTACACCGGAGCAGCGGATGATGGACCCATGCAGGACTGATTCTACCTGTTCGAGCTTTACACTACCGCTGCATCATGGTCGGAACGGGAGATAATCACCAACTTCACTGATTACATCTCTGGTGAGGCTTTCAAGTTTTACTTTACACACATATTCGAAAACGACAAATCGTGGCAAAAGATAAAAGAAGAAATGATCGCCCGTTTTCGCAACTATGATGAAGACTTTCTTATTTTCAACCATTTGGAAACAATCGCACTCGGGCGCCATAGCCAAAAGAACTGCTCACGCATTGGGACACCAAGAATGAATCGGCCTTTGAAACAAGACCAATTAAAGCACCCTCTCACTGAAAAGCAGCCAGATCTGTTTGCAGGAAGAGTGTACCCAATACTACACCGCGTTTTGCAACTTCCCGATTGAAAACCAACCTTTACATCATCACTGCACCGAAGCACTCACGTTACAGAGCCAACCTGTGCACTGTATTCTCCGTCTTGGACACTTCGAACACCTCCTGCTTTCCCGTCGCTTGGCTCTTCACTTGCTCACAATGATGTCGCATCTCACATGCTCACTACGGTTGATATAGAGGCGAGGAACTCGAAAGATACTCAGCCAGGCTCTGGCCCTTCTGTGCAGATGCATGCGTCAGAACAGCTTAACTCGTTAGTTACACAGAAAGACAAACATTTCCGACTGAAATCTGACCAAGCCACGCTTGCTGCGGTGTCACCATCCAGTGCACGGACACCTGAGAGTCTTGACACAGGAGGCTCGGAAGCATCAAATCACACACATTGCTGAGAACCAGAAGCGTCCATTAGGAACGGCGTCACAAGAGCCTTCGAAGATCCTGCAGTAAATTCTAGCGCACAACCTTCATTACCCGAAATGCCACATAACAGTCCACAGACTACCATCTGCCTACTGGACACCACATCAAGTTGCCCAGAAAATCAGTGCTATGGTTGAAAACGGCTGCCACCTCAGCTCGTTCCGCAGCAACACCATCAATGCCAGCAAAATCAGGCCCAAGAACAACAGAGTCTCCAAGGGCTACATCAACAAGGATGATGACGAACGGAAATACCTTTGGAAGAACACTCAAGAATTAAACAAGGGCGTCTTCAAACGAGTCAAGTGAAGCGACGACAAATTCAAGATGTCTCGCTTAAGACAAACAAGTCATCTAATTCAAGACATTTTCGCAAAAAGGAACATCGCACAAGTTTTCTCCAGAAGAGATCAAGACTCAGTCTACAATCAAAGTTGTTGAGACAACAAGAGACAAAGTGACGAAAAAGGTGCAAAACCACACTCTGTATTCCCGAAGGATGCAGAAATCATCGCACTAGTCTTGTTCAACAAACACGCAGACTGGTGGTGCTACATGTGCACCAATTAAGGCAAAGAGCACGACGCCTATGGAAATCATGCTGCTGGCACTCCAAAGCCTTCACACCACAATCATTCCTCGCAAGACTACAAGCAGTTTCATCATCTGCAGTTTCCACGTTAAAGATGTACTTGTGTTTTCCAGTACGCAAACGTCAGCCTCGCCCACCAAAACTCCAGCACTTACCGGACTGCTGCACTCTCCTGTGAAGCTATAGTGTGTTTGCGGAAACTTCCTGGGACATGGAACGATCTTCCCTTTTTGACAATGTTCACTTCTAAGTCATGCAAATTCACTTTTCGTTTCTGTTCGTCTGACGGGACTTCTTTCAGGGGGGGGGGGGGGGAAAATCCTGTGACATAAGAAGGCAGGGATGGTTAAAAGTAGATGAGGAAGAAGTGCTTAATGGAATAAATATGGCATATGAGCCAGGCCACGTCTCCCATTCATCATAGCGTCATATATATATATATATATATCCTTTAAAGGGCCGGTCAATGTCTATGTTGGCTGTCCTGAATGGATGTTGAGCGAACGTACAAATTCTTTCCCTTTGTACATGTGATGTACGTCCATCAGATGTACAGTGACAGTGTACATCCGTGGACATTTGATGGATTTCTGGAATATTCGACATGTACGTCCCATTGTATGCCTACCTGATATCCGTGGTTACTTGGTTAATTGATATGTGGAGTTTGACGTCCCAAAACCACCATATATTTATTTATCAGAGAAGCAGTAGTGGAGGGATCCGGAAATTTCGACTAGCTGGGGTTCTTTAACGTGCACCCAAATCTGAGCACACGGGCTTACAACATTTTCGCCTCCATCGGAAATGCAGTCGCTGCAGCCGGGATTCGAACCCACGACCTGTGGGTCAGCAGCCGAGTACCTTAGCTACTGGACCATCGCGGAGGGGCATGGTTACTTGGTTGAAGGAAGGGAATTTTCGGGGGCTAGGTTCTTTTATGTTTGACACAACTTCAATAAAATGGGATTTAGCAATACAGAAATAACTGCAAAGAAAAAAATGAATTTGTTTTAATTAAAGCAATGGAAATCGCACAGACATTACTGTTGCCATTTCCACATACATAATGGCAGCCTCCAAATAAGGAGTGATTCAAGTAGTTTTGTGGTATTGCCAAAATTATATTACTTACTTCTTTTTATTTACTGAACTAATAATACAGACTAAACCAATTGAGAATTGTGAAGACGATCTTCAATATGTAAGTGTACAAAGAAATTTGCATTAAACATACTCATGCAAAAAAAGACAAAACAATATTTCACCTTCAAAGGCTCTATACAAGGAAAACCGACACAAAAAGTGGCAACTATGAACTGCCACTAGCGTCGTCACCAGAGCATGTTCCCATGCATGTGAAATTTACACAGTTCCTAGGCTTAGCATTTAATAGCAATTGTAGTAGTTTGACGTCGCAAACCAAGATTTGATTATGAGAGACACTATAGTGAAGGGCTCCGAAAATTTTGGCAACCTGGTTTTCTTTACTGTGCACATAAATCTAAGCCTCAAGCTTTTTCACATCCATCAAAAATACAGCCACTGTGGCCGGGATTCGATCCCATGACAGGCTCAGAATTTGAAAAGCAATAAAGGTTGTGTGCTTTCTGTAGGTGGAAGACACCACAGACAAACTGTAAAATATCTAAGCAAGTTTCATCATCAAAGCTAAAGAATTTTTTATTCCCACTGCACATGGCTAGGAGAATGAGGCCTCCATTGCCACTGATAAGGGTTCTGTGGAAACAGGCCATTAGTCCTTCCATCGATAACCATCATTCCTTCCATCGATAACCGTCAGTTTAGCAACATCCTGGCCAGTACCTATACCGCCAGAGGTGAAAACATAGAGAACACAATGCAACATGTTGCCTCTAGTATTGAGAGCTGTCAGAAAGGAAAAGCGAGTACACATACTATCACTATCATAACATGTGATAACTTGAAAAAAAAAACTATGTTGGATGGTCTTCTTACAGGCTATTCATCTCTGAAAATGTTATAAGGTGACAATTTCAAAGAATATTGAACGAAGCCCATTCAAAGAGCAGTTAAATATGTAAAAATACAACATACCCCAATCCGTCATTCCATGATCCGATGTAAAGATATAAGCAGTTTTGCCATCTTCTTGATAAAACTCTTCAATGAGCTTTACCATATGCTTGATGTTTCGGTCAACCAATGCAATGTTTTCATAGTACTCTCTAGAAAGAAGAGAATTGGGAATAACCCATGTGCAAGCAAAGTAACAAATATGTTAGATACAATGCACTTACGTGGAGTCAGGGTTATAACCGTGTCCTATGGTATCCAAACCAAGAAGGTGCAAAAAGAAAACTATCTTGTCCTGCCTGAGCATTTCAGTCAGTGTCTGATTATCTGCTGCACTGTGAAGAAACTCCTGAAACCAACCAGAAATTATCAAATACTGGTAATGAGGTTCTAACTGCAATCACTGGTGAATACTGTCTATTAAAATATCTCTTGCAAGTTGTAAAATAACAGTCTGTGGTTAGCTCAAATAGTCTACCGTCATGGCCATTTTAGTGCCCTACAAACATACTCACCATACTTTTAAAACAAAATCAGAAAATGAAAAGAACTCAGAAAAGAGCAGAAGAAAACACAGAGCCCTGTGCACTGCCTTCTCCTCTTCTCCTTTCTGAGAAAAATATTCAAGTCAGAGCAGGCTACGGAAAATGTAGCAGGACTCATATTTTATTTATTTTTTCTTGACAGAGGCAGAGTGTTAAAAAATTCTGATTAAAATTTTCAAATTGTACTGATAGGCAGATAATATTCATAATAGAGAATACAAAGCACATTCTACATGCAATAATTTAAAGGCCCGCCTCAGTGCAGGAACGTATATTCATACCTGAATCTTTCCAAAGACCCATAAGTCAAGCCTGGAGGCATCCTCATCAGCAAAGTCAATCTCATTTGTATCATAAGTGTGCGCATGAACATGCTTTTCATGGTCCCCTATTGTGCAAGAGTAGCATTTGAAGTTTAAACCAAGCTCTCGGGCAAAACAATCATAACAAAAACTGATTATTGACATGACCAGCTTGAAGACCACAATATATTCTTTAATGAAATGAAGCTATGACATTTGAAGATATACTGCGATACAAAAGCATATTTATCTTCGCAACTGAAATTCAAGAATAAAAAGCTAAATAATACAGCAGATATTGATGTGCTGGCCAGGGCTTGGCACATCAGCTTTACAGAAACAATTTGCTCATTTCAATCCAGTAACTGCACCAAGTGCCCAAGCCAATTATTTTGGTTGTTAGTTATACAGACTATCAGAAGCCATCACTACTTCAAAAAAAAAAAAAAAAAACGCCCGAACAGGCTGGACTGTTCACAAATAGCAAACGTATTTCATGTGCATAACAGATGGCTGTTGATGCACATATCAGTGCTACATCATACCAGTTTTAAGGTTCACCAGTATCGCATCAGACACTGGCACCTTCTTCTGGTCAGCTTAATGTCAGTCACTTCAAGTTTTGCATATCAAGAAATGAAAACTCAATGTAAGCCTTTACGTTCTATCACAATAACTTTAATCATTACGTGTATTGGTGGTCAGCAGGATTACCAGAATACACTTCTTGTTCAGAAGAAATCATTCGAACAAGAAAAACAATAGATATGCTCATTGTAAATCATGTGTTGTATATATAGGGTGTGATTATCATGCAGAAGGGCTTACATAGGACAAACTGGGCGGTTCATTAATGTTAGACTAAAGAAACACTTATCTTAGTTATAAGAGCACTGACATCGAATTTACTCATGTCAAGACTTTTGTGTCAGCAAGTAGCTATCGAACCCTTAGGAAGTAGCTATCGAACCCCTAGGAGCGATTCGCAACCTATAATGCATTAGAAGAACGAATAATTATCACATTTATTGGTTTATATTACTGGTATCTAGCACAATTCAAATCAGGCGGCAGTCCCGCCACTTTTTGGCACTGGGAGCGCTACCTTGCGGTCACCTTAGATCCCGCCACAGCTGACCATTTCTCCACAGAAAAGAGTGACGTCAGGATCAGCTGCTTCACAAACATTTTGTCTGCTAGGCACACATATGCAGGCAGACCTTGTCACCTGCATTGCCCTTAGTTCCGGCTAGGGTTGAATACGACAGTTTGTAGCTTGGAATCGTTATTATTCGCAGTGTTGTGAATAATTTTTGCTTTGATCCATCCTTTGCAGAATAGCGATTCTAAAATGGACTCCGTTTCAAGCAGGAATGAGGAGGTGCCTGAGGATGCATGCTTTGGCAGTGCTCTCTTCTGTGCCTCAATTAGCTATATTGGTGTGTTCTGGTATGCACAGCATTCAGGCATACGGAAAGGGGTCAATGGAATATCGGTATAGAGAATGCGCACCAGCGGAGAAATAGAATATGTTCCCTGCTTGCCAGGTACTTCTTTGCGTCTCCAGATGGCCCCACCTATCTAGCCTCTCAAGCACTCTCACGGTTGTGGCGGTAGTAACCTGGTATTATGCGACACAAGGAAGTCTACGGACGAACTACAATTTACTATTATTAACAATAACAGCGTGTTACTTGTTAGCAATGATATCTGTCTATTCGCTACTCCACTTTGATAGCTTGTGGTGGTGTTGGTCTGTAACATGCATGTAATGCAAAGACACCTTCGTTGCTCTTTTTCTGCTCTTCGAACCATATGACTGCAACTCACAACAGTTCGCCAACATGCTGACTAATGAGCTGATCTCTTATGGATGGTTTGCATCTTGGTAATTTCACGAAATCATTCAAAGCAGTGCGACGAAGACCAAACATGATGAATGAGTGCGTTTCCAGGCTTCGGCGCCAGGTGGCGCCACGATAAGAACACTCAGATTGTACATGTCGTCGCTACTAGCATATTGTCACTCAGGATGGTATGCGTGGAATGTATCACACCAAACATGTAGCACTAGTGTTGATGTCGCAGCGGCACTGCAATTTCTATTAAGCTCTCGTACGCGATTCAAATTTGGCCAGGAGAACCTTACACACCGAGCTATCGAATGAAAGCCACACCTTGATTCTGAAATTTGATGTCAGTGCTCTTCTAATGGCTTCTGGGGATTTGCACTTGCCAGTTCATTTGAGAGAGTGTGGCTGCCAACCAATGACAGAGAAAACCACTTGTTTGCTTAGCCATCAGGACAAATGCAGTAGGAAGATTGTGGAAGCTCCTTAAATAGAAGGAAAGGAGGAAGGGTTTTTTTTAGTTGTGAGTCAGCATCTGTATCGTGTCCTCCTTAGTCCTCATCTGTTTATAGCGTTGGTGGCCCTTGGTGAAAAGGAAGCTTTACACAGATTCAAAGCTGCCGCATTAAAGCAATTATTTTTGTGGAACTCTCATGCAAGTTTCTTGCCTGTAAATGGTTTGCTTTTTTTTTTTCAGATGTCCTCACACTCTACATTTTTAGATGATTAGCTATTTTGTAGATTGCTCTGCTGTGCGGATGCCATGGTATGTCACATGACTGGGTCAGCTACTTTATATATGTAAACATGCACCTTCCTATAAATTTTTAGTTGTGAGTCAGCATTGGCATTGTGTCCTCCTTAGTCCTCATCTGTTTATAGTGCTGTTTTTCCTGAACAATGATGAACCACCAACTAGCCCAAGCTTCTGTTCTAGGACATAAAATAAACTGAAAAAAAAAAAAAAATGGGAAAGGCTGCTCGGCTACTGAGCCTTTGCAAACAGTGGGATGATTACAAACACACAACGGTCCCCACTTGCATAAACCTGCAGCTACACCAGCAAATATGTCGCAACTTTAGCACATTATCAAAAAGCTTTTTGATCTTGTGTATAGCTCATGCCTAGCTTTTTATCTAAGAAAAATATGACAATCACCATAAAGACTAACAGCATACTTAGGAATGTATTCGGAGAACTGGTGTGTAAAACAATGTAATGTAGTTTCAATGCCCATTTAAATACAGTGTTACCTTCTACAAGTGTTGCACAGTATAGAAGCCAAAAACAACAGCAAAAAAATAATAAAACATATTGCACTCTGGGAAACATAACATGCCCACAGCAGTTAATATATGTGGTCAGACAAGAGAGGAAATTCTATGAATATTGCTGTGAGCATGCAAATACTAAGTGTAGCAGAAAAGCTTGTACAAGATTTATGCACAGCAAAAATTTTGTACAGAAACTAGGTGGATAGCTGAAACTACATCCAAGACACTAAGTATTTCTGTTGCAATGATTCAGAACAATGTGTGAAAGTTTCAATCAGGTAACAGCATGCATGTATGTAGGAAAATGCATTAAACTCTCATAGGAGCAATAACTTTTCTTTCCCAGTGGTCCCACCACAAATAAAGCATTGGCTTAATAGTTAAGAGTAGGATTACATTAAAAGACCACAACTACGCTTGGCAGCTTTTTTTGTGTTGTACAAATGCAATTGGTAGCCTCAAGATGATTTGCCATACCCTTTGTGAATAGGTGTACCATGTCTGCTGCACCCCATGCCCAGACATGTCGACTTCTGTTGAACACTGAATCGAATTCTACAGGATTTTGCTTCCATCCTTTGGTGACTGCACTGACATCTTCATAAAATCCTGCTATGAGGGCAACATGGCCAGGCCTTGACTCAGTTGGCACACGTGTGTGCGACACTCCCCAGCTTCCTTTTTCAGTGATAATTGACCTATAAAGAAAAAGAAAAATACAAGTTGCATTGTTGCACCAAAACATTCTTATGTACTTATTTAAAAAAAAAGACCAAATATTCCTGTATTTCGATAGTGATGCTAATTCTTGCATCAGAACGCATATGCAGTGTCTACCAAACCCACAAGAAATTCCCTTATTTACCTGAAAAGCATACAGAGAATGGGAGGAGAGACAGCATGTATAATGTATCACATTTTACTAAAAAATTCTGATAGACAGTAAAACACGATGGAACAACTGCTAGGAGCTTTCAAGCTCTCAAAGGTCAGGAAAATTGTTTTCCTCGACCTCCAAAGTTTGTATATTTAACCACAAAGAGGGAACTTCATTGAACAGCATAAAGTTTGTTCTAAATGTTTGTGCAAGAACGTAGGAGCTCCTGCTTGAGACGAGACACATGGTAAAACACTGAATTCACTGAACATAAAGGGGTACCAATACCTTCTTTCCAAAGCAACTTTACTTTGCCGTACAAACTTCCTGTGTACAAAGAAGATTCTGAGCAAGTGTGAAGTGCATCAAATGCTGATATTTTATTTTGTCATTAGAGACAATTTCCCCATTGTGCACCTACTGCCATCGACACTAGCCTGACGTCAGGCTACAATAAATATTATGGTGACTTCAAGCAGCAGTCTGGCTAGTTGCCATGGTGTTAAATACTAAAACTTTTAAAATGACCGCTTTTGCATCACAAAAACATTCAAAATGGCCAATTCTACATCTCCAACGAAGCAAAGCCACAGTTTTCATGGCAGAACGGCCGTGAAAATGACATAATATTTTGCGCAAGGACATGACAAGAAGCTCATACGATGAAGTGACATGAATCGTATGAATCGAAACTAACTTTTAAAAACATGCTTTTACTTTTTCAGGGTGAACTCACACTTAGCAACACATTTCCTAGGATTTCAAAGGCGTCACCTATTATTTGATGCAGGAAAACTAGAATTGAAAATTTTCGTGTAAGTACTCCTGTAAGTGCCCGTCTTATGAAGGAGGAAAACAATTCCTCAAAGTTTTCAAGCTAAATACTGAGTAGAAAATTCCAAAATAAACCATCTCGAAATGATAATCGGTTTGTGAAAATAAATGGGCAGCCTTATCTCACACTAAATTGTTTGTCCGCTTGTTCTCCTTTATTTGCACTCGAGCAATGTAATTTGTTCTGACAATGTCCTAAATCTTGAAAGTCACAGGAGCTAACTTACACAAATAATGTTTTAAAATGTTTCTACAAATGTCTCAGATGAAACAATTAACATCATACAGAGCAGGTTGAAAGTGCTTATATTTTCAGCAACTTGCAAACCTCTCAAAATTTTATCTTTTATGGAACCTTTTTTATGAAACAAAGCTAATAATTTCAGTGAAATATGAAATGAGCTATGCATGGCATGAGCGCAAAAGAATATTGTCAATATTCTACTTACATCCTAAAAAATAAAGGCGAAGCATTTGCCAGAGTGAAAATGCCAGAGTGAAATGCCAGTGAAAATGCCAGAGTGAAAGACTTAACATTAACAGCTTCAACATTGATATGTTTTACAGTTAAAAGTGTTACATAAGATAACATTTTTTAGATAAAGAAGGCATGACAAGGATCAACTGGGAATCATTTGCAGAGGTAATTTTTTGCAACTTGTTTCTTTAGTTTGAACAATAATGATTTAACAAATTATATATGAACAGACAATATTTGGCTAAAATTTCTCCTTTGAAAGAAAATTTTGGATTTAGTAATATTATAGCACATAGAACATCACACAATGTTGATTGATTGATATGTGGGGTTTAACGTCCCAAAACCACTACATGATTATGAGAGACGCCGTAGTGGAGGGCTTCGGAAATTTAGACCACCTGGGGTTCTTTAACGTGCACCCAAATCTGAGTACACGGGCCTACAACATTTCCGCCTCCATCGGAAATGCAGCCGCCGCAGCCGGGATCATCACACAATGTTGACTTGAATTATGTCTAGAAGGCCAATTTTCAGTCAAGTCACCCCACTCTACACCTGTGACATACTACAAATTAACAAGGGTCAACTAAATATGATATGAGAGTGCTGCACAATCTTAGTAAGATATACGTGAAATTGAAATATCACAACCTCATAGTTACCTTACTAGCTATGTACTAGCAATGGATTATATATATATATATATATATATATATATATATATATATATATATATATATATATATATATCGTAGTTTCATGGCTGGTTATTTTCTCATCCACTTTTCTTTCTTCTTATTTACATTCCATTGGTTCTAATAACTTCCCCTGTACATTACTTGGCATTACTGTCTGTTAGATCTCATATATATATATATATATATATATATATATATATATATATATATATATATATATATATATATATATATATATATATATATATATATATATATATATATATATATAATCAAATTCTTGGCAAATAAAATGCATGACGGTAGTGTTAAGCAAAGCTGATGACTGTTTATGATCATGGCAATAGTGTCACATCATACACTGTCTAGAAACGGCAATAGCACAGTACTTAGCATTTATTTCTCCGCTATCGCCATTATGGAACCTAATTTTGTAGAATTAAAAAAATGAAGGGTCAAAACAAAAGTAACGAAGACCTGGGTAAACTAAATTGGCACAAAGAGTTGTTGATTCACTGCAAGCAAACATGCATACAATTTAAGAAAACGAAAGTTGAGCACCAGTAATCGGTATTTCAGTATGCACACAATGTCGACAATTTTGATTCGTAGCTCCTTTGCTAGCTGTGAATGTAAGCTGCGGTAATCAGCTACTTAAAAGCATAGCTATAAGAACAAATATGATTGCACTTGTTCATTTACAAAAATACCAGGAGGCCAACTACACAACGCTGTAACACTAGATTTTACTAATGTGTGCCACTTTTCCCCTTCGTCTTTTGGCTGGCTCAAATTCTCTGCATTATGTACAACAAGTCAAGATTACAACACAACCAGACTTCGCATGAAGCGCGCCCTGCAGACGAAGTTCCCGACTCCCCAGATGCGCGTAGAGCAGTTGGCCCGCAAACATATCACACCATTAAAAACGTGCACAACACCCTCACAGCACTCGTGAATCGTCGATGACGTAAATTTTAAGCTAACACTAAATTTTTACCTCAGGTATGGCGCTCTTGATGTTCCATTTTTCTGAAGTTCGAATATCTTATCCGCGCGAAGACCGTCTGCAACGATGAGCACCAGCCTCGAAGCTGGCGAAGGCAACGGCACTTCGTACGCCGGCAGTCCGTGAATGATGGGCGACTTAAAATAAATATCAAATATTGAGAATAGAAAGACGATATGTACAGCTAAGCCGATGACACCTGTGAAGACTGACAGCAACATTTTCCATGGAACGCGATTGTCGCTCCAACAGTTTCAATCAACACCCAAGTTCCTCAGTAGGTTAACTTTCGCCGTACAAGAAACGCCCATTTTCACAGCTCGGGGGTCAGTGCATAAACGGTGCTTTGACAGCTGATCCCTGATCAGTCTCTTACGAGTAATTAGCGATCTGCCGCGATTCTCGCAGGGAACCACTCTACCGACACACAGTGCACGTAATCTGACGCGTATCCGCAAATCAATAGCGCATTCGGCATCGCTTGGCTTGGCTAGCCGTTGATTGACTTGTTCACTTGTGCAAAAAATGCATTATGCTACAAAAAGTAAATCTTTTGTTACTTTTGTTACAAAATCTTTTGTTACTAAAAACACACTTAATAAACCTAAATTAGTTTGATTTACACAAATAATTTTGTAATAAGTAACCTACGAAACAATTTTTTTACTTAAAGTTTATGTCTATTGTTGGCCCGCTTACGAGCTCAGCGCTATGTTTTTGCAGCGTGTATCTTAAACAAAAGCACGATCACGGTTATTTGAGCTTCCCAGCTTAGGATTTTAGAGCAGCGCATGGTATCCGAAAGCTATTGAATGCCCTGTACCGGTGTGAATCGTGGGATCTCTCTCGATTTTGGACTCACTGAATCATAATTTACTAAGTGTTGAAAATGAGTGTCGTCGCCCTTGTAAGCAGGCTTCCTAAGCTTTCGTTCCAGAAATCTGTAGTAACCTTACGGGATTTCAGATGCGACCATCGATACGTAAAGCACGCTGTAAGTTGACTTTGTTGGCATTGGTGTGTGTATTCCCGATAGCTTTGAGTTTGGCGTAATTGGAATTTTAGATAATATACGCAGCTGACGAGAATTGGGAGAACGCGTGAACTATGCAAACGGTATTAACGTGTGCGCATGATGTATTCATACCATGGAATAGTCACAAGCTTTTGTTACTTGTTCTTCCAGCAACCAGGGGTTTCTCCTGTAATGCAAAGGAGCCACCTGTCAACGTCGACGCGTCGGGAACAGAACAATGGTGAAAAGAATAAAACCCTCGTCTACTTGGGCTCCATTCGCTCCACAGTGAAAATGGTGAAAGGCCTGTCCTTGACCACCAGCTTCCTTGGTATTCTGGCGCAGCCCATTTTACTTCAGAAGCTAAGTGGAGCATCATTGGGCGCAACCGTGATTGTAGTGTCATGCGCATCATTCTTTATCTTCGTCACCCCGCTGATGCTGCACTACATCACCAGGAGGTATTCCTATCCATTATTTAGGATACTTGTCAAGTTACATGGGCTGTTTACGTTAATTTGAGGATAGATATGGGTAAAAAGAAATCTTACTGTTTAGAAGTCGTATATTCGTTGCCTGCTGTATAAAGTAATGAAAGGTCAAACGGGAGGCAAGTACTGCAGATTTTTGCCATGCCATCTTTGATAACTTGCTTCTATTGATTCCGAGTATAACGATGATTTGGCGCAACCAAATCATTTTTAATGTCCATTACAAGCTATAATCCGTGATATGATTGGCAGCATTTAAATAAGGTACCAGGACGATACCTCTGGTGTGTTAGATTTTTTTTTTTTTTTGGCCAGCTTCTGTGACCATCACTCATCATAATATTTTGATGCAGCTCATTTTACTTCAAAAATCTTCTTAGCAGTATTGGTAAAACTGAGTTTTCTTTTGTAGTACAACGTGCAGTAATAATAACGTTTCTATTCGGAAGTTTCGATCGGTACAATGTTACTAATAGCCTCCTTTTTTTTGTTTTGTAATTTAGATATGTGACTGAACTCACGTACGACCCCGACACGAAGGAGTTCAACGCAACGACATTGACCCTGCTGAACCGCAAAAAACACATTAACTTTATTGCGGATGACATAAAAGTGCCTGCTATCCCTGGCCCATTTACAACCCTTCTGGCTAAAGGTCACCCATTGTTCGTAGAGGTGCAAAACATCCAGGACGCTGATGCTCTGGAACGCTTGATGGGATATGACAAGCCCATTGACCTACATGTGAAGGTGTCAAATTCACAAGAGGAACAGACGGAAATGAGAAGAAAACAGCCAGCACAGTACAGTGATAGGGACTCTTGATGTGCTAGCAGTATTTCTTGAGCATTATTAGGAAACCAGCATATTCTATTCAACTTATTGCTACCTGCTCACAAAGGACGAAGTGCTCTTCAACATTTTTCATGTGACTTCCAAAGCACAAGCAAATTTTCTTACAGCTAAGGAATATGTTCCCTTCTGCAGCCCCCCCTCCCCCCTTTTTTTAATTTATTGTGCAATGTTTTTTGGATCTCGTTATGCAACATGTTTTAACACAGCATTAATGACCATCTGGTTTGGGTATATCAGTAAAGTGCACAAACACTTAGTAGGCGTGTCAGCATTATTTCAATAGAAATACGTGGTAAATATGTACTGCAGCACTTTTTTTCCTTAGGTTGTGCAATGGTACGTTTTGTCAAAGCTGTTGAGCATGGAGGCAACTCAATATGTAGAATGTACTGTATTGTGCGGGTGGCTTTCTGAGCTTGCAGCATTTCTTTATGATGTCCTCCTGGTTTATCACAACTAGTACCCTGTTATAAGTGCTTTAAATGCAATCTTCCAAAATTTCAGTTTTTAACTGTTTATCTAGCACTTCAGTTATAATGCCTTTTGGTGTGGTGTCTTAGCATGAGACTCAACAAGTATTTTATTAATGTTCGTAGTTGCATGTATGCCAAAGGGTCAAGTGCACTGAAGGCCTTACAATAGGACTTTTGGTTCATTTTTCATGACTGGTTGTTAAAGCAAGGGTGTATGACAGGTGTCCTAAGTTATCCTGAAGCCTATCAAAGCTACACAAGTAATTTATATATAAAATGGTGGAGTACTCAATAGATTATGACATTGTATATGTATGGGGTTTAGTAGGATGTTTTACACACCCTTGATGCCATGTTCAGAGTAGTTTTAACTGAAAAGGGATGAAGCGGTACCTCGGGTTAGATGGTGTTTAAACAACATACTTCCACAACTGAAAAGGGATGATGACAGATAACAGCCTGTGTTATATATTGTCATCTGACCTGACTTATGTTGTGCTGTGCTAATATTTCTGAAAAGTGGCTGTCTGCTGGTTTCTAAGGATCCATATTTTGTAGTGAAGTAAAAGCCTTGCCAACAGAAATGCCTGTCACCGAGTGATTTCATTAGAGATATTTTTTAAATTTTTTTAATAGAGAACTTTGCACACAAGGTGGAACCAATATGTCATTAGTACTGGGTTCGGAAGCGCATACAGGATTTTTCGACGGAGAGTCGGTTTTTTGAGGGTCATAATAGCTCCTTTTCTTGGGGCTCTAGATGAAATGAATAAGTGGGCGGTGGTCAGAACATCAGGATGGCCTTCTGTATCTGCCCATGGTTTAGTTCATAGTGCCGCCATGCACCTAACGGTTTTTCATCTTGGCGATCTGTGTTTGGGGTACTCATTACTCGGGTAACTGGCTTCTCCTTGTGTATCTTTTTTCACTCCTCTTTCCCATCTGTCTGCCATGGTGGATTAGTGGTTACGTTCGGCTGCTGACTCGCAGGTCGCAGATTCGATGCTGGCCGCAGCAGTTGCATTTGGGTGGAGGCGAACTGGTGGCGGCCTGTGTACTCACAGGTCGCCACCACACATGTCGGTGCACGTCAAAAAAAGAAAAGAAAATGCCAGATGGTCAAAATTTCTAGGGCCCTCCACTTCGGTGTGCCTCATATTCATATTGTCGTTTTTTGGGACGTAAAATCCCAGATGTCATATTTTCTTTTCCCCTCTTTCCTATGACCCAGAGTCTTGCTCCCTTTCGAGTTGCAGCAACACTTGTACTTCCTTTCCTACTCTTCTGTTTCGCAAGTACAACTCGGAGCCTCAGTTTGAACATTGAGTGAAGCGACATAAGCCAGGAAGAAAAAAGATGGGTTGAGCGCTGAGCTACCGACAAATTTTAAATGCAAAGCATTCCTTGCCGAAATTTGGCGAGCCCTATCTATCTGTCTGTATGTATGTATGTATGTCTCTAGCTAGCCACCTATGACTTTTAGCTCTCCTGGCCATATGGATAATGGGATCTGTACCAAAATTGGTATGGGATAACATGATTGTATGGTGAACATAACTGACTAGTCATAACATGAAAATCATGACATGTATGTCATTAATGTCATGATTTACATGTCAGGGTCTTGCTGCTCCTACGGTGGTTTCGTTCACGACATATCGCAAAACTGGTATGGTGTGACATGATGCACTCGCAGCCGTTTCACTACTTTCAAATATACCAAATTTGGTATTACGTGACGTGAATAGATGATGAAGATAAATGACACGTACAAACATGATAATCATGACAAGCGTGTCATGTAAAACATGACTACACTCTATGCTCATAGCATGCTCGTGGCCGTTTCGCTAGCTTTACATATACCAAATTTGGCATTACGTGATGTGAATGAACGACTGAGCACAAATGCCAGGCGCAAACATGATACTAATGGCATGGAAGTCATGTACGGCATAATTTACAGCCACTTCGTAACGTTGAGCTGAATTTAATGTGTCAATTTAACATTCCTCATTCATGCTTCGCATATCATCAATTCCCACTGTATGTGGGATCTACCAATTTTTTATTCGATGACCCCATTGTGCACTATAGGGCTCACATCACACACGTGAAACCATATGTGGAACGAAACATTCGTGCCAAAAAATGAAAAAATAGTCTTCCAACTTGTAGAAAAGTACATGATAGTTCGCTGGATACGTGTTAGCCGTTCAACAAAATCAAGCTTTTCCACATGGTGTATTGAGGCACATACTGACATTTTGTGCCTTAGCATTAACCTCAATAATCTTGCTTTTAAACTGATTAAGACTGCGGCTCACACATCTGCCGAATGCTGGTGTGCAACCACAGGTCTTGCAATACAAATCAAGAAAACCGCCAGAAATATCTAGTTTTTTTTCACTGCATTAAAGCTCACAATCGTATTTTTGGGACGTAAAACCCCAGATGTCATATCTTCTTTTCCCCTCTCCCCTATGACGCTGAGTCGTACTCCCTTTTTGGTTGCAGAAACAGCCATAGCTATTTCCTCCTCTTCTGTTGCGTAAGTACAACTAAGAGCCTCAATTTGAACATTAAGAAAAGGGACATAGCCAGGAAGAGAAAAAAGTCAGCATATCCACAGAGAGAATGATGGTGAGTGGGGCGAAGTGTCCGTTTGTCCGTGCATGCATCCGATCGCGTTCGAGAATGCACACGGTGCGTGGGTGACATCGACGAGACGTGAGCCAAGCAAGCCGAGCGCAAGCGTCTTCAACGCGCCCGCCACTCTGCTTCATCCATGCCCCACCAACGATATGCCGCGCACGGCGACTATCCAGGAGACTGAGAGAAACACTTGTTCTCCGCGTACCCAGGCACAGCCCGCACAGCAGCCAATCGGAGAGTGGCGGTGCAGCGCCATCTAGAATATCCTCAGTTTGTATGTACTTATATCAGACAGCGCCGTCTGTTATACTGTTAGGGAGATACTGCCTTCTTTCTTTCTCGTCTTTTCTCTCGGTCACGCGTGACAAGGTTAGACTAAGAGGAATTGCGCCTCTAAAATGCCCCATCCTCCTCGAAGGGAATCGTGAGGTAATGCGAATCTGTTGCGTAGCGTCCATAACGGCGTTTCGCACGTGAAAATCCAACGTTAGGAGAATGTTTTCTTTTTATTACACCGTGAAGCCGATAGCGTCGTTTGCCATACGTGGTGCTTTTCTGTCGCGAGAAATGCAGTATGCGTTTCCAGCTGTAGTAGCTAGCGTGAATGGTTAAAATAAGCGCGCGCCCGCAGGTGTCGTTGACACTGCCAACGCCGAAGCGTGACATGGTGGGCGCCCCGGTTGCGAAGAACGTGGCGCGCTCGCAGCTTTTGCTATGTGAAAGGGTGGTGGATGGATCCCGGCTGACGCCTGACATAGCCCGACTAAGAAATGAATTCGCATTCAAAAGACATGATGAGCGCCGAGCTATCGACTGATGCTCATTCGATGACCTGATCGCGCATTATATGGCTCGCATAGCACATGTGAAACCAAAGACAGGACGAAATATTTGTGACAAAAAAAAAAAAAAGTCACAGCTTCGCCGTAAATGCGAAGCAATGAACGCGATAGCAACAAATTGGAAGGTCACGCGCAGAATGGCAAGCAGATTGAAACGTACCCCGCATTTTTCACGCACAAATGACGCAAAAAACGTACTCTCAGGTACAGATGTACGCGAACAAGCGTCTCAGTTGTTACTTCGCTGTGTTGAAAAGCGCACCCTTTTCGCAAACGGAGACTGTGCAACGATTGCTGTGACTTTGGTGCGCCCGGTAACTACAACAGAAACATTCTAGTCAAAGCCCAATGTCAGCCAAGACGTATGATCGTCCCCAAAGCGAGATAAGGGCCCGCGAGCGAGCGTCAGCCTTCTCCACTCTGAAGGGCAAAGTACGCTTGGAAGATGGGAGCGTGCGCCGCCGCGTCGTGACGTTGTGGCGACGCGCGTTCACTGCGCCATCTTGCCGGTAATGCTGAAAACACAATAGCCCCCCCCCCCCCTCTCCGAGATGTCTGAATGACCAGCGGTAAATGGTAGATGTAAATAGGTTGCCGTTTGAACGTTGGAAGATGTGCTGCTCGGTGGCTCAGTGCATGGTTAACGCCTCGAATTCACTGACTCGGAGGTTACACGATTCCAATCCGCATGCCGGAGTCTATTTCAATATTTTTTTTCTTTCTTGCGTTTTCATATATATAGATACGTATGCATATACGGTGAGTGACAGTGACGCCGGCGGCAAAATCCAGCGGAGAGTGTCCATATAATCACTATCGCAATAAAAAAAAAAAGCTGAACAGTCTTCCAAGTTGCAGAAAAAGTACATGATAGTTTGCCGGATGCGCATTCACCGTTCAACAAATCAAGCTCTTTTTGAAACGGTGTATTGAGGCACATACTGACCCTTTGTGGGGTATAGCATTAGCCTCAATAATTTTGCTTGTAAACTGATTAAGACTGCGGCACATACGATCACACATCTGCCAAATGCTGGTGCGCAACCACACGTCTTGCAATATAAATAAAGGATGATGATGATATGTGGGGTTTAGCGTCTCAAACCCACCATATATTACGAGAGACGCCGTAGTGGAGGGCTCCGGAAATTTCGACCACCTTTAACGTGCACACAAATCTGAGCACACTGGCCTACAACATTTCCACCTCCATTCTAAATGCAGCCGCCGCAGCCGGGATTCGATCCCGCGACCTGCGGGTCAGCAGCCGAGTACCTTAGCCACTAGACCATCGCAGCGGGGCAATATAAATAAAGAAACCCGCCAGAAGTATTTTTTTTTTCAAAGCAACAAGACTCGCGCAAGCGTTTATGACGCACCTTCCGCGCTCCTCTATATAGGCTGCCTATTTATGTAGTTGTTTTAAAAGCGAAACATTTTTTGCCTATTGTAGGCGCATATATATCTATTCTATCTATCTATCTATCTATCTATCTATCTATCTATCTATCTATCTATCTATCTATCTATCTATCTATCTATCTATCTATCTATCTATCTATCTATCTATCTATCCCCCTACGTATAGGTGCTGTCGTGATCAAGCCCTTAATCATCATCATCATTATCAGTCTGACTATGTCTACTGCAGGACAATGGCCTCTCCCATGTTGCGCCATTCAACTCGGTCCTGTGCTTCCTGCTGCCACATTATACCCGCAAACTTCTTAATCTCATCTGTCTATCTAACTTTCTCCCCCTAACCCTTCTCTGGGAATCCAGACTGTTACCCTTAGTGAACAGTGGTTATTCTGCCTACGCACTAACTGCCCGGCTCAGGTCCATTTGCTCTTGTTGATTTCAACTATGATATCCTTAACCCTGGTTTGTTCCCTGATCCACTCTGCTCTCATTTTGTCTCTTAAGATTACACCTATATATGATTTTACTTTCCATCGCTCTCTGTGTCGTCCTCAATTTAAGCTGAACCCTCTTTGTAAGTCTCCGAGTTTCTGCTCCCTAGGTAAGTACTGGCAACATGCAGGTGTTATATACTTTCCTCTTGAGGGATAGTGGCAATCTACCAG